TGTTTATCAGTTTGACTTGGGGTAATTGGAGCAAATAAAATGTTCTTAATGAATATAGGGAAATATATCACTAAATTGAATAAAATGATTATCACAGTTTTTCTAGCTAGCATCAGCCAACATTTTCAACTTTCAAGTATGTGGGAAAACAAAAAATAAAAACAACTCAGAAAATAGCAATCCTGTAGGGCACAGTACATCATTTACTGTAATTGCCATGTTATCTGCAGGTATTTCATAGACCACAAAGGAAACATGAAGCCTATTAATTAACAAGTATCAGTTTCAGTAAATGTGCTCATAGCACTGCATCACTGACAACTGCAAGTTTTTTTTTTTTTGTATGAGGGATTGAACTCATGGCCTAGTGCTCTCCAGGCAGCTTCTTTTATCACTGACCTCAATCCCCAGAACCAACAACTTTAGATACTAAATATGACTATTAACAATGTTTAATTTGCCATTGACATAGTTATAAATTTTGTAAACTTACATTTTCACACATGAAATGATTTTCTTGCCTTGCAGTTTAAATTACTTTTTTTTATAGGTACCAGGGATCAAAGTTACAACCTAGCACTTTCCAGGCAGACATTTCTGCCTGCTGAGCTTAAAGCCCTGGCCTGTATTAATGAATATTTTAAATGTATAAACATCACTTTATCCATTCAAATACTATTGTGATTTTAGCAAAGGATGTCAATGTAGACAGAAATCGATATACAATCAGAGGGAAACTGGAACCTTCAAGAGTCAATGCAGAAAACTAAATACAACAATCACTGCAACAGGCACAGCTGAAGAAAGCCAGAACTGAAGATGAAGATGCAGTGACCAGGTCTACATGCTCCTGAAGAGAAAAGCAACAGCTTGAAATGTACTACAGTTACCACCACCTCCTCCAGGAAGTCCTGCTAGGCATCAATTACCATAATCAATGACCAGAACAACTGGACTATTGTTCCCACAAAATGCCTTGGTTCTTCCCACATACCTTTTCTGGCTGACTTGTTCTCCTCATGAGTAATATTAGTTAAGCAGCTATAAGTTTATAGGTTGAATGTAGTCTGAGACACACACTGTACCCACATTGTGGCTTTCCTGTATAAATGACCCCTGACAATAGGTCTGTGGCCAAAATACTGAAGACCACTCCTGAAAATTCAAGGCTATTCTTCTCTCTTTTTTTCTAAGAAAATTTTTGAACTTCTTTTGGTTTGTGACTTCATTTCTCAATGTTGTGAGCCATTAAACTAGGTTCATTTGACAGCAAACAGGGCAGGATTATATTTTTCTTATTTCAATTTAATTATGAAATTCTGCTAAAGGCCATGTTCCAAAGCCTGGATTTCAAGCTGCTTGTTTGCCATGAATTTAACATTTCCATGCGCTTTTAAAAGTCCTCATTCTAGTGAACTGCAAATGTATTGGAGGAAGGAGGTCATTGTTGTGCTGTATGTAGCACAGTAGGTGCCATTCCTAAATCTGTTTTTGTCACTGCCTCCTGGATGCCACTACATAGCCTTCCTTCTTCTCCAGCATCATTCAATAAATCCCATTTTGCATAAGTCAACTTTCACTCAGCTCTATAATATTTTTAATAGTCTTTCTGTCACCTTGGTTGTTTATGTTTTTCATTTTAGTTTTTTGATTTAAAGACATAGTCTCACAGGAGTTCTGGCCAGCCTACTCACTATGTAGGTTAGCCTGTCTTTGAATACATGGCCATTCTCCTGTTTCAGTCTCTTCATCACTAAGGAAAAGAGGTGGGCATTATAACACATGGCAGTTGTCTTTTTTCTCCTCTCCTTTTCACTATTATTCTTTCATTTCAGTGGCAATGTCATTTAATCCTGTTGTTTGCTTGTGTCAGTAAAGGTTTCTGCAGCTTGAGTTGAGTTTGTGAACAACAATGTAGGAAGACAAGCAAACCAATTGGGAAATGTGGAATTTCATTAGCTGGTCTCAGGACGAGTTGTATAAAAAAACACCTATCCCCATTTCAGGATCTAAAGAAGAGGCTTTGAACTGGAAAGTTACAGATATTTTAAAAGATAGAATCACAAAAAGATCCTGTTGGAAATCATTTAGCTAGAATCTTATAATAATTTTTGGATGACAACTGTATTCTGCTTCTTTTGTTGAGCAGGTTAATTTTTTTCTTTGGGTACAGCTCATTTTGCTTTTCTCCTGGGTCTTCTACCCTGAGTGATTTTTCCATTTTCTGGGTGAAATACAGGGCACTAGTTAAATGCAAAGCTCAAGGTGGCATCTATTATGCCAATCTACAACACAGCTAAGTTACAAGCCTCAATATTTTCTAGGGTAAAACCACACATATCTATAATCCCAGCACTCAAGAGGCTGATGCAGGATGGCTGCTTTGAGCTTAGGGCAATTCTGCACTCCATAAAGTGTTCAAATCTAGCTGATGTACGTAGAGAAAACCTGTCTCAATAAAACAAACTAAACTAAACAAATAAAACCCACATAACAGCTGAATGGAGACTGATTTCTTAAAATCTTAATTCCAAATCTTGGGGATTAATTGCTTGTACATACACATATTTTGAGACAGCAAATTTGATGCCATAATGCAACTCACAGCTAATGTAACAGCCAAATAGGAGCACTGATTGTTTTGCTGAGTCACTGCAAGTGTCCCTGTGTGCTGGGTTTGGTGGCTCAAGCCTGTCATCCCAGCACTCCAGAGGCTGAGGTGGGAGGATCCTTGCGAGTTTGAGACCAGCCTGGGCTGCAAAGTGAGCTCAAGGCCAGCCTGAACTGTGTAGTGAGACCCTGTCTCAAAAAAGACAAAAAAAAAAAAAAAAAAAGGGTCGCTGTGCATTGTCTCTAATGCAGAGCTCATAGTGAGAGCCTGCAGGACAAGCATCCTTGAAGCACAGAGGCAGACAAATATTTCATCAATCACTTTGATGTAAGACCAATGATATCTCTTCAAATCTGAATTAGGCCACTGAGTCCTTTGTTCTTAATATACTTAAGCAGCATTTGATATTTGAATTTGGTTTCACAGAACAAAACATAAATAACATCAAATATGGTACATAAATAATAACTCAAATGTTCATGGAAACCTGCTGTAGGTAAAACACGTATAAACAATGAAACCAGGTGCAAGCTTCAAATTATAGCTCAGTGTCAATAAGTGATCACTTTCCATTCATAAATAAGAAATATATCTTGGGAGGCTGATGCAGGAGAAATGTCTTGAGTTTGGGGCTAGCATAAGTTACAGAGCTGTCTGAAATAGAGAAACCCTCACTGAGATACTGCACAGACAATGTGAAATTTCAAAAGTGACTGCATAAGACACCTTTGGTTTGCTTTAAAAAGTTATAGCCATACAGTATAGAAAAATTCCACCATATTCAACATTTTCTGAGGAACAAGGTTGATATCATCTATAACATACAGAAAACAGTTTCAGAGCTGGGTATTTAGCTAGCAGCATGAAAACCTAACTTGCAAGCTTGAGATCATGACTTCGATCCTTGGTACAAAAAAAATTCAAATTTCACCTTCATGATACTGGGTCATAATTCAAGATAATCAAAACTAGATCTCAAGTGAACAACACAGAATTCATGGGTTAACAGGGATGTGGAATACTGATTCTTACCAGAGCTTGTGCTATTCACCTCAAGGAAGGTATCATAATTTAACTTTAACTGCATGCTTACCCTAAGAACTACCTGACTTTCAGTGAAGACCCTCTCTGTTGTATGTCCTGCTATTTGCACACAGTGTCCTGCCAGTCACTTCCACATCCTTTGCATGCTCATCTGATCCACCCTAAGCAGAAAACCCTTCATGCCTTAACTAGTAATATCCCCGCATTATTTCAATTTAGGGCATCTCTTTACACGAATTAGTAAAGTCCATTACAGAACATTTCCATATTTAAACAATGTATATGATCAACCAAGCTATTAAATCAGCTCTTAATTCAGAGAGGACACCCATATTCCTTTCCATTCTGAAGGAAATCATGTGTATATGTTCATGCAAATGACTAAATTTAGGCATTTTTCAAAGAGAATTTAACAGGCAGCCCTTTTTGGAATTTATCCTTAGCAAGCACACTTTACCCTGGCCTTGATGACACTTTTATATCTGCTTCATTTTTCTCAAAATTCAAACCTCTATGGCTGTTCTCACAAACATAGTCTATGAGCACATGTGTCACATAAAGAATGCTCAGAAATTCTTTGCACTGTTATTTATCATACACAGGAGTTAACCAGGTGTTTGGAAAGACTTCCTCCACTGAAGTATATCACTACACATCTCTGAATTCTCATAATCTTTCCCAACACCTGTCATGGGGTTGGAAATGTGAGAACATAGTATAAATTTAGGTAATTGCAAAATACATAAATGCATAACTTTAAGGAGAGCAGTTGTGGCTACGAGGTCCTGCAGCACAGAAAATTATAAACTTCTGGCTTTCAGATCTGTTGCTGACAGGAATGAGAGCAGAGACCTGGCTTATTACAGCTGCACGCAGCTTGAAAACACATCGGAATCAGGGTCTCCTCATGCCCTGTCCTGGGCCCAGACTGTTGGAGGAGGAAGGGCAGCAGGCGATTTCAAAAATGGCCTTGTGGCCTGGTTGTATCACAGTGGTGACAGCGTTCTAGGGACCCAGAACTGTCCTGGCCCCAGCGAGAGGTAAAAGGGCCAGAGGATGACTCACTGCTAGCACTAGAGCACCTCAGGGTCTGAGGCTAAGCACACAGGCTCTAGACAGCACAGCTGCTTCTCACCACTTTTTTTTGCTTTTCTTTTTCTGTCTTTTTTTTTTTTTTTTTTTTTGTCTTTTTCCTTTTTATTGGTACCGGGGATCGAACTCATGACTGCCTGCTTTTATTGCAGGCACTTATGCAGCTGAGCTAAACCCCAGCCCCTTCAAACCACTTCTAACTGGTCTCAACTGGATTCCACCCCATTTATCTGCTCCCATCCCATAACATCACCATTGCATGGTTTGGAGGTCTCCCAGGTTCTTTCTAAGCAGTCCACAGTGAATAGAAGCAAAAAATAGTGGTCTAGCAAACATCTAGCGCTCCCTTTTTTGCCCTGGCTTTGCAACTGACGCCATGACACCGGAAGAGACCGCCTACCTTGGCCCGCCTGATTGGACAGTTCTTACAGCCAGCCTCTTCATCACTGATTGGCTCCTGCTCTCCTGCTTGCCTTCCCCACCAAGAATAATTACAGAAAAAAAAAACCCACCCTGGAATTGTGGATCCCCAATGAAAGATGGTGGAGGCTCCTGGAGCTGGCTGTCTTCTGGAATGTTGACCTCAGCTCGTCTGATGGGTATTTGCACTGAAAGTCTTTACCTCAGTCCTTGTTTTTTCTCCCAAACGCATTTTATTTGAAAGTTAAAAAGTAAAAAAGTGGTTCAGGGATTTAACTTAATCGCCTGCCTGGCAAGCTAGAGGTCCTGCATTCCATCCAAGATCTGGCTACCACACACTGTGCTGCTATAAACGTGGGTGCACATATATCATTGTGGTATGATGATTTTTATTCTTTTGGGTAGATACCCAGAAGGAGAATAGCTGAGTTGAGTGGGACCTGTAGACCTAGTTTGTGTGGAATCTCCACACTGATTTCCACAGTGGTTGCCTTACCACCAACAACGGAGAAGGATTCCTTTTTCCCGCACAACCTCTCCAGCATTCGTTATTGCTTGATTTCTTAACAGTAGGCATTTTTTTTTCTGGGGCAAGGTGACATATCAGTGTTATTTAATTTGCAATTGTTAAATGTCGAGTGATGCAGAACATTTTATCACATATTTATTTGCTGTTTCTATTTTTTTCATCTGAGAAGTGTGTATTTCACCTCAGATGCACATTTTTCGATTTGGTCTTTAAATAGGGGAAGACTGAAATTTTTTAGTTTTCCGTGCTCTCAATAGTAATACTTTGTCTGAGGAAGAGTTGGCAAATATTTTCTCCCACATTGTGGGTTGTCTTTTCACTCTGTTAGTGATTTCTCTTGCTGTTAAAAAGTTTTTTAATTGGGTGAGATTCTCACTTAATTGTCTTTGATTTTTGCTGTTCAATACAAGTTTTCTTCATAAAGTCTTTTCTTACATCAATGTCTGCAGGAGTTTTACTTACTCTATCTTGCAGCAGATTTAATGTTTCTGTTTTAATATAAGATCTTTGATCTATTCTGATCTTAGCTTAATACACGTTGAAAGATAATATTCAAAACGTATAGAGCCAGGTTTTCCAGCACCATTTATTAAAGAGGCTGCTTTTCTTCCAATGACTTTGTTTGGCACCTTTGTCAAAGGTAAGATGGTTTAGTGGTCTGGGGTTGTTTTTCCATCTTCTAATTTGTTCTTTTGATCTTTGGGTCTGGTTTTGTTTGTTCTATTTTTTGTCAGTACCACATCTTTTTTTTTTTAATCACGATACCTTTATAGTATAATTTCAAGTCAGGGATTTTGATGAACCCTATCTTTCCTTTGTTGCCCAGCATCACCTTTGCTACTCTAGGTCTCTTCTGGTTCCAGATGAATTTTTGGAATTATTTTGTGTTATTCTTTGAGATATGCTACAGGGTTTTGATTGGGATTGCACTGAATCTGTACAATAGCTTTGGAAGTATGGTCATTTTCACTATATTGAATTTCCCTACCCAAGACTATGGGATAGCTCTTCATTTTAGAATGTCGTCTTCAATCTCCTTTTTGAGAGTACTGTGGTTTACAGTATAGAGATCCTTTACATCCTTTGTTAGATTGATTCCTAAGTATTTCATTTTGTTGGATGCTATTGTAAAAGTTATTGTTTCCTTGATTTCTCTTTCCATGAGTTTTTTATTCTTGTTTATGAAATCTAGTGATTGTTGAGTGTTGTCTTTGTAACCAGCTATATTACTGAATTTTCTTCTTAAACTAGAATTCTTTTGGTGGAATTTTTATGGTCTTCTAAGTAGAGTATCATATCTTCTGCAAATAATTATAGTTTGACATTTTCATTTCCTATCTTTATTCCTTTTATTTCTTTCTCTTGTCTAATTGCTCCAGCTAGTTTTCAGGACTATATAGAATAACAGTGGAGGCAGTTAGACATCCTTGTTTTGTTCCTCATTTTAGAGTGAAAGCTTTCAGTTTTTGTCCACTTAGTTTGAGGTTGACTGTTGGTTTGTAATAAAAGGCTTTTATCAGATTGAGATAAAGATGATCTCTTCCGATTTTTGTAGGTTTTTTATTATGAATAGGTGATGGGCTTTGTCAAAATCTTTTTCTGCATCTATTGAAATGATCAAATGATTTTTGCTTTTGGATTTTTCAATACGGTGTATTATATGTATGGATTTATGTATGTTGAACCACCCTTGCGTCCCAAGGAATAATTCCACTTGATCATGTTGTACAATCTTCTCGATGATATTCTGCAGTCTGTTTGCCTTTATCTTATTGAAGATATTGCTTCAATTTTCACTAGGCAGAATGGTCTGTAATTCTCTTTCTTATTTGGATTGTTCTCTGGTTTTGGTATCAGGGTAATGCTTGCTTCCAGGAATGAATTGGGAAGAACAATTTCCCATTCGATTTCATTGAATTTTGAGAAGTGGTGGTGTTAGGTCTTCTCTAAATTTCTTATTTATCCCTGCCATTTCATGGCTACCCCTGCTTTCTTTCAAGGATCAGTGGACACTTTCCATAATGGGCTGCAAATATTTTCAGGATAAAGGTTCAATCCTCCAGGAATAAAAAATCCACTGATGTCAGAAAATATTCTGAGAACAGGCCAGGGCAGGACACAACAGAACAGAGAGTCGGAAGTCTGTGTTAGAGGCAGCAGACTTCATCTTAATGATTTTCACTCATTTCTATTAATTTTCCACCTACAAACCCAGTATGTGAAAACAAAAGGAGCATAGTTACCGTGTAAAGTGAAGACATTACATTTAAATGATAGTAATGGTCTGCAACAGAGTATGGATGAAATAAAAGCTATCATCAGTTCTCCAAGACACACTTGCTACTCATTCAAACTCATATAATTTCTGAATTCTGAAAGTGATCATATTGCCAAGCATGGGTGTGACAATTATTGCTGAAATGGAACCAAATTCCTAATCCAATTAAACTTTTCCTTCTGTTGAGGCAGGGACACCCAAGGACTTCACACTCTAAGTTCCCCTTGCCACATAGTTCCCTTGTCACTAATTGGCACTCAGCTCTTTGTTGTACTCTACTCAAAAAAAACACGGCCCCATGATGAAAAAACGGGGCAAGACCCCAAGATGACAAATGGGGCAAGATGTCATTTTTAAAAGAAGTGCTTTTATTTTAGCTGGCCCAGCAACACAGTGCAGATGGAATTTGCAAACTGTGCAACTGAGTTAGAGTTTTGACTGATTTTTATAGTTCATTTATGATTAGCTCATTGATCATTAAGTACATAGTGATGAGAAACAGAAATAAGGTGGGACTTTGTTTCCCTTTGCTTGAGGTCAGAGGCATTTCACAGTGGGTGGTTAGCCAATTCATAGCCCTTGGTCTGCCAATTCCAGGAACATTTGTCTCTCATAAAGGAAACAGTGGTTGACACAGCATCATTTGTCTCTTACAAGGGGAACAAAAGTTGACATAGCACACAGGTCACTAAGGTGGGGGGATGACGCATTACAGCACAGCAGAACCACGTGGTCAGTTAATTTATAACTATGTGGTTGGTGTTTGGTTACTAGGGTAATGAGCTCAGTATAGAATGACAATATTACTAATAAATATATGTTTAAGTAACTATTTTTGTTAATTATCTTTTAATCAATTATTTTAATTTTTAGCATCTTAGTATAACATTACTAATCTGTTTATATGCAAGGTCCAATTGTTAAACAAGTAAGTAAGATTAACAGAGGTCTGGAGGCTGCTATGATTAACGTTGTCAACCAGGGAGATAGAGAAAACCATCCCTCAAACCAATTCTGTTCAGTTTGTCTGGCTTGTTCTTGATCCTGTAGCTGCCCTTTAAGGCTGGCCATTCTTTGTCTGATAACCCCAGAATGATTGGCATACAAACAACAATTCTTTCCTAATGCCAGACAAAAGCCTCCTTCCTTTAGGAACAGGAGATCTAGACCCCACCAGTTTTGTAAAACCATCTCAGTCAGTATACTTAAAGAATCATCTAATTTGGAGATAGAGTCACTAAGGGCTGCTAAATCTTGGTCTATGAGTACACGTAAGTGTCTATAATTTTGGTCTTTTGACTATTACTCTGGACACTCTCAAAACTATTGACCTTCTTATCTCAATTTTTAGTAATACAGGTAATAATGCAGGATTTTTTTTGCTCTTACTGGACTCTTTAAGTCAAAGCTAGGGAACAAGTGACTCTTACCATTATCTCTAGGGTACCAATACACTTGGGGAAAGATACGGACTAATATGTAAAGCTCAGGGCACTGGGTAAACAGGTGATGCATGGAACAAGGAGTTATATTAGAAGAACAGGCAAACCAGGCTCCATTGGGAGCAACAAGGTGTTGATTAGCAGGATAGGAAAAAGTATAAATCAAAGCTGAAGAGGTAGGATTACAGAGTGCAGCATTAGGGGAAGTGTGCAAGGAGTAGGAGGCAGAGTAAACACAGATTCCTGGAGCACCCTGTACATTGTCCAGTGTGAGCCAGGGCTTAGCATCCCACCAACAAAGGTGTCATCTGTACAGGAATTTAAAAATTGATTTGCCATAAGCAATGTCCAGAGGCAAGAAGGGGCTAGAGATGTCACAGAAATCGCAGAGGGCAAAAAGGTCTCAGGAGCAGGAAGTCTAGTGGAGGAGAACAGAAGATTGGGTCTCAAAAGTGAGGAAAAAGTTAAAGACCCCATTTATTTCCCTGTCAAGGAGATACAAATTTACAACCCCAATGTCTACAAAAATATTTCGTCTCTACGGATTGTGAACACCTATAATCAGAGGCTGGCTGTTGCTTTTGGGGACAAAGATACCAGTGAGTGGACGGTAATTTTTTTTTGAATACATAGGTCCCTGTAAGTCTCTATTAGCAACCAATCTGGCAGCATGACATGCACACCCAACAACAAGTTTTTGTCTAATTTTTGCTGGGA